TCCACACTGAAGAGTGCATGCCTCCACATTGAATGAGATATCAGAACAAAGTTCTCAAGGGAGTACTTAAGACCAAACTGCTAGTGCTGTCTGCCTAACTTTCAACCCTGCACACATATTTTAAACAAATATATATTTGCATTTTCTTACATACAAAATATTTTTAAGAGACAGCGACATGGGCTAGTGGGCAAAAGGTAAAGGAATGTGCCTTGCAAGTCTTCTGATCTGAATTCATAGATTTATTGATATAGCCTATGGAAAAGATGAAAGGAGAGAACTGATTCTACACAGTTGGTTTTTATCTCCACACAATACAAGCCACACAACACACATGCACACATGTGTTCCCTTCACATTAAGAAAGTTTAAATATTTTTAGATTTTGAATTTGAATGTATAAATTTAAAATTGATGCATCAGATTTTAGCACATATTTTTTACTTTATCATTCACCACATTTATTCAGTACTTATGTTGTATTTATTGTTCTGACTTATATAGCTAGAGCCATCTAAAACATAGACGAAAGCCTCTGTCCTCTTGAAGTTTCAAGACTGATAAAGTAAGGATAGATAGTCAAGAAATTAGAGAAATGAGAATATATAAATCGATGAGGCTGTCCTAAATCCTCTAAGGAAGTCATAAAAGATATAGATGGAAAAAGCCTGGCGTTAAAGTAGAGACGTTGAAGGTTTATAATAAGCTTTGTAAGATGCAGTGGTTAACTATTCCAGGAAGATAACAGAACAGCCACCAAGTTAGGTATAAACTGTTAGTGGAGCTTCATAGAGTCCTGGGGACAAGAGAGAAAGCAATTCAAATATGTGGTCAGGAGTATAACAGGCCCTGGAACCTCAGAGCCTATATCAAAAGTGTGTGTTTTCCTCCATGTGAGATGAAACAGTGAGGCACATGAGCATAGGACAGGCATGATCTCAGAGTTTTCAAGATGTTCATTAATGTTGAGTTAAGTTATTCACTCCACCGGAGGGAAGATGTCTAGGTAGAAAGAGAACAGCAAGGAGTCTCTTGTGGCAACCATCTGGGAACTAGCTCCACATTGCTGACAGCAGTGGTGATGAGAGCTGGGAAAAACCTGTTTGTCTGTTGGTTTTTTGTCATCGGGTCTTTTGAGAAATTGACCATGTGTGGCTATAGGGGAGCAAGAAAGGTGAAGAACTGTTACACAGCTTTTGGCCTGACCAATTGCTCTTAGTTTTGATATAAATGAATATGAAAATAATTTGATGGATTTTGTCATATAGTTTTGGAGAGAATGGCCAGTTGATCGCATGAGCCTGAAGCTTGGTCAAAAAGTCTGATAAATGTAGAATTTATTTGCCTGTACTTGCAGATATGTAGGAAACAAGTAAGGTCATACCCAAATGTAGACACAGATCACTTAGCATTCTTAGAGATCAGGCAAGGAATAAGTGAAGAGAAATGTAATTGAACACCTAGAGAGTTGAAGGGGACACCTAGCCAGTGTGATGTTCGCAAAACCACATGAGGAAGAGGCAGAGGGTGACAAAATGATCACCAGCATCCTAACCTCAAGCTGAGAATTAGCCTGGATGTGGTTTTGACCTTCATAAGAGCAGATTCAGAATCAGAACCTCTCCAGAGTCTTCACAGTTTACTATACAGAGTCAAGAAATGGTGTGGTTCCTGTTTTCATAAATCTTCCTGTTTTTCCCAAGAAGGATTTTAGTTCTGTTGGGTAGATGAATTAATAACATTTCTGTATACTGGCCTTTCTAAATCTATCTGGAAATTAGATGGCTAAATACAGAAATCTGTGAGGGCAGAAGTTTGGGTTGTAATCAGGCCATGCAAACAGATCCCCTGGGCTTATGGGTATTTGAAAATGTCATGGCTACACTTGGTAACATGAGAACAATGGCACCACAGAAGGAGAACAGAAGGCATGTTGGCAGAGCATATAAGCAGAGAGAAAACATCAAGTCAAATATTTTGTATATGCATTTTACACAGTATCTGTTATAGTAGCCTCTAAAGTAACTTTGTGAAAATTTTAATGTGAAAAATTTAAATACATTTCTTTCTTCCAAATCTCACTTAACTCTCTGGAAAGAGGTAACTCTGTATGTTTTAAGTGGAGGGTGTAGGCAGCCTCTTCTACATGCTAGATACTGTCAAGCCAATATCTCTTCTGTTGGGAGAACAACAGTAGTGGTTGATGGTAATCACTGTACCTCTCTCTGTAACAGGGTTTTGCTGAAACTCTGATACCTAGTAATGTTGATGTCTTGATGAATCAAGTAATTTAGTTAACAAGGATCTCCAGCCTGTTATTTAAATGACTAACCAGTTTGAAAGCAAGTGTAAGTCTGTGTGCATGGTGGCTGTTGAGATAGAGGCCAGCTGGTACAGGCCCTCATCATCTGGTTCTACAGGGCTGCTGTGTTTTTTGTTTTTTTGGTTTTTTTTGGACATCAGAAAGTGGTTCTGGCTCTATTCTTTCCAGGAGTAGTCTTTGTTTCATCTATTGATCCAGATGAGGCTCTGCTGTGATAAATCCTGTCAAATATGAGACTGGAAGACAGAGTAAGCAATTAATTAACTGAAGAAATCATTCAATGTGAAGTCATCAAGGTCCCATAATTATCATCTCCAAAACAATCATGTAATTCTGTGTCTCCAAATAATGGAATTCAAATGGTTTTTGTGTTGTTTATTTTGTTCTGCTTTGGCTTGTTTTTGTTTTCTTTTTGTTTTTAATTACATGACATCCATATCCAAACTAGAGCTATTCTTTAATATATCATTGATTTCCATAGTTTTCATTTCAAGGAGCTAAAATTCTGGGCTGAAAACTATTGATTCCATCACTAGAGACTGTCGGTCCATAACCATTGAAAACAGAATCTCCAAAAAACTGTGTTTTTCCATTAGATGGGTGGATATAGTAGTATAACTGTAGATTTTGTAAGGTTTTCTCGGTATGATGTATAGGTAATAGTAATGTTTTTATAGAATATAGATAGATAGATAGATAGATAGATAGATAGATACTAGAATAATATGAGCTATCTATTTTAACCTTTCTATTATATTTCTGATTGATGTTCTTTTTTCTTTATCTATAATATTTAAAACACATGGATGATATTGAAAGTTAAGGATGAAAAAAGCCTGAAAATAAGATACTACTTCTACATAAAGTAGAGTAGCAATTCAATATGCCACTGCCTAGTTGATGGGCATATCAGAATGAACATTCAGAATATATGTGAATTTGCAATATGCAAAATTGAAATCATAATTTTCATAATTATGCCATAGAAGTAATGAAGAAAATAATTTAACCACATTTTAAAATTTTATTTTCTATGTTAAGACTGAAAATGTAAAATCTTTCACTTTAGCCAGATGATTACAAAGATCTAGCTCTGCTGATTATTTTTATACTAGAATAATCTTTCATTATTAATCTATTTAAGTCTTATCTCAAGTCTGTTCGTCAGTGCTAGCAATTAAAGAGAGAAGATGCATGTGTTCAATTTCAAGAATTAAAATAATGCCTTGGGAGTAAGCATTTCTTTTCTGTGGTGAATGGATTGTTGAGTTTTCCAATTAGAAAAGTCTCCATACTGGAAATGAGTAGACAATTATGAAGATTATTTTTGAATAGCCAATTTACATATCCCTAATTGTGTTCATTTCTTTTGAAAAATGAAGATTGGTTACCCCTGCATTTGTGTTATTAATACTATTGCCAACAAGGTTCCCCTATGAATGGGGCTTTGAGTGCCTTTCTGGATAAATGTCTGAATCATAAGTAGACTTGACTTATTTAATGAATGAACAATATCCAGAGTTACTAGCAGTTTTCAAAATTATATACACTGTATTTCTTTGGAGTGACAGTAACAACCAAGAGCTGCCTCCTGAATTTACATTTGGCCTTTGCTACCTTACCCAACAAGGAACATTTGCCACTCTTTTATAGGAGTACAGTCTCCTGCCACAAGCACAGCAGTCTGCCTTCTCTGTACTACAGTGGCATAGTGTCATGTGATTAGGAGAACATGATGAATTTTTTGTGAAGAATGACTAGAAAACAACGTTTCAGACTTTTTATATTAAAGATATGCAAATATGTTAAAGGAAATGAGAATAGATATGCAATTAGGAGTAATTAAGTTAGTTCCTTAGTTAAGTTAGTAACTTAGTGTCAGTGGACTTAGCATCCACTGGGCTTAAACCAGGCTGTGAGTTCCATTACGAAAAAAAAAAATGATACCAAAGACATGCATAGCAATGGGATGCTTGGGACATATAGGATTTATAACTATTAACATTCTTTATGTTTGCAAGTATGTGTGGATTTAGATTGTGTTAGAAAGACAGATGCATGAGGAAATGTCTTACCTCTTTGTGACTAGAATGTACATTTCTATAATGTATTCTGTTGTTCAGCTTTTGTATATTAAACTTTTCTTTTTGTGTCCTGGGAGCAGATAACTTTTAGGCATATTGGTTAAAGTCATAAATGAGGCTATGTATGTAGCTCTGTGGTAGAACACTTACCTAGCATGGGTGAAGGTGTAAGTTTAATCCTTTGCAGGACAGAGAAACAGACAGTGAGAGTGACAGTGAGAGATACAGAGACAATGAGAGAGACAGAGACTTACACTGAGACTGACAGAGAGACAGAGACACGGTGAAGACATTCATGAGGAAAGAGGTTAAGAGGCAGCCATTTCATTCCTGTAATGAAACCTGGCCCAAACTGACTAGTTCAAGAATAGACAAACAAAGAACAAACCATTAATCATATTCTGTTGCTGTGATTGTGGGGGTTGTGTTATTGCAGATTTAAGGGTCTTGACATAATAATATTAAAACTTCCAAGATTTTTTTTAAGGCGACATTTGCTTTAAGACCAAGTAAAGATCACAATCAACTAGACACAGTGTCTCTGTGATAAGCATGTCCTACAAAGTAATTAATGTTGTTGGACTTGTTTGCAGCTGATTGCTGTGTTTGATGAACAAGAGCCTCTTCAAAAGATTGAGAGCCCCAGTGGAAACCCTGTGGATCTGCAGAGCCCAGAAGCTTTCGAGACAGAAGTGGCTGCCCAACTGGCTGTGTTTAAACCAATCGGCGGGGAAATCGTAGTAACTCCTTCTGCTCTGAAGTTAGGTAGGTGGATTTTCCAGATGATGCCTTCCACCTGGTTGCATATTGCATCAACTTTCTGCCTTTCTCCTCTGTGAAATTTATCATGTTAATATTGTTATTTATAAAGACATCTGGTTTGTCTCCTAAGATATTTTTCTAAGGTTCTTTTCTGCTGTTGGAACTCAGGTAAGGAGATGCAGTTTTCATCTGGAACTGAAGGTGACTCCCAATTGCATGCTCCCGAACAATCACACTGCGAGTCAGACTGTAAGGAATGAGGCTTGTCTGTTTCCAAGAAGCACCACTGTTTTTATAAAGTTCATTATTTGGAAAAAGCTAAGGGTTACCGAGAAATCCACACTAGAGCTAAGGTTCCATTTGTGTCTTAGTCATCCTGGTTTTCTTCACATATATGGTAGACATTGGAGAAAACAGTTGGGGAGTTAGTTTTGAAATTTGAAATCGCCTGATTTTTGTTTTCCAAAAAGGAGAACAGTTTACCTGGTGGTTTTATTCAGAATTTTTTGGCTTAATATTTGTTTGAAAAGTGTAGGAAATGAAAATAAGTATTCTTCTGAAATTTCTGCCAAATCACGTATCTGTTTTTGTTGATACTTCTTAGAAATGAGTTTAGGTCTATCTGGTAACATGTCACTTTCCACAACCCACTAACTGTTGGTGTTTAAAGTATATTCTGTTTGGGTCAATTGTGAACATAATAATCTGAGTGAGCTTATTTAGACTTAATTCCCATGTCAGAAGGACAGACACAGTCCCCACTTCTCAAAAGGAATCAATTTTTTCTTAATGTTGAACACACACTTAAAATTGTAAAAATGTAATTAGCAAGAAGGTTGGACTAATAAATCTCCTGTCAATCACAATGACCAGAAGTATATTCCTAGCACCCACAAGGTGGAAGGAGAGAACCAACTCCTTCAAGTTGTCCTCTGATTTCCACTGGCATATCTTGGAATGCATGTACAAATACACACACACACACACACACACTCTAATAGGAAATATTTAAATTTTAAAAATAATGCATAACATCTTTCCCCTTCATTTGAAATTCAGTATTTGCTGTTGCCATCTATGTTAATACATGTCTTTAACTGCAGGTCTCAGGACTTAGTGGCAGGCAGATATCTGTGAGATCAAAGCCAGTCTGTCTACATAGTGAGTTCCAGGACAGCCAATGAGCTACATAGTGAGATGCTGTTTCAAAAACTAAAATAAAATTACTGTTAAATTTATTATATATAGCCAAACCAAATAACCTTGTTTGGTCTTGATTTTCTGAAACGCTTCTGTAGTATCTCTTTTAAAACAAACCAAATGGAAATTAATGACCTATGGTCTTTATAATTTTCCTGCATATTTTGGAATCAAAGCTCACAAAGCAGTCTGCATAGATGGTGAAGGGCTGGTTGACGGCTGCTCCTCTTCTGGAGCCAGGCTTGTGGCTTCAGCAACCTTGCAGCCCCATCTCTCATTTGCATAATGGATGCCTTTTTATCCATTATGCAAATGGTATGAGAGGAAAATTAGGCAATAAGGGAAGACGAAAGGAGAAAATTGCTCTTGCTTGTTTTAATATTCTATTTATAAGCAAGTGCTGTGGGCTTCAAAAGACAGACTCGGGGTCTCCCTGACTTGGGAAGCTCATCTCCACCTTTCTCATGTGGGCTTTCTCAGGGAAGAAAGCTTGCCTCCATTTTTATTTCACACCTTCTTTTGTTGGACCATCTGATCAAAATAAATAGTGGTGTTGAATCCAAGAAGAAAACCCAACTCACATTCTCTTTCTTTCAAAGTAGATTCTTTTTCTATTTCTAAAAGACTTATTTTACTTTTATTTGTTTGTGTTTGTGTGTATATGTGTGTATATTAGAGGCTAGAATAGGATATTGAATTTCTTGGAGCTATAGGCTCACAGCTGTGAGCCACTGGATAAGGACGTGGAAGCCAAAATCAAGTCTACTACATAAAAACGTTCTTAACCACTGAGCCGTCTCTTCTGAGCCTCTCTCTGTTTGAAACTGATTTTTTTTTATTGTATGGGGACAAAAAAATATATTGTTTATTCAATAGAGTACATATCAGACACTACCGTAAAGAGACTACATTGAGTGATTTCAACACTTACACCTTTATTGGTCAAATTCTTTTAAGAGTTAATGTTGTTTAGTCATGTTTTAATATTCTCTTTCTCCACAGATGAGGAGTTGGGACAGAGTTTAGTATCTCCTCCAAGTCACACACTGAGTAGGTGGCAGAGCCAGGATGTGAACTCTTGCTGGCTCAAATGTTAGGAACCAGTTCACTATACTATTTCTAAGATGCTGTCCATAGGATAAATTATTGATAAGACTTCCTTGGAGTTTACTTTATGGATATGAACTGAAGCACAGAAAAGGCTGAACATTTAGACTCACACATCCATGTCATTAAGTTTAATGATGTCATAGATTAAAAATAATAGAAGCTAGCATTTTTTTATGTTGCTTGTTTCTATAACAAAACAACTGACAAGAGGATTAGACATTTGGTCATAGTGAACTTACAGTTAGGAAGCAGACGCCTGTCTTCTAGGCATTTCCAAATCTGGTTAAGTTGACAGTGAAGACCAACTGTCACTCATAACTTCTTAATTGAAACAACTTTAGAGAAATGGTTGTCTTTCAAATACTTTATTTTAGTTATAAAAAAAAATCCTCAGGGTTTTATTCTGGTCAAGAAGTTAAATACATAACACATCCAGTTCTGTCTCTGCCCATTCCACTTTCCTGTTGGCGTTCTCACAACAGGAGGTGGTCCTATATCGGCATGGGACTGGACAGTACATATCCATGGCTCTTCTGGGTTGAGACTGCATTATGTTTTGAGGTGTACCCCAGCTTCTTCATGTCAACTTAGGGAGGGGGTTGCCAGAAGAGAAATAGCACATCTGTTCCAGGAGCTTATCATGAAGGATTCTTAGACAATGCCAGACTCGGAGCCCTAGGCCTTCATGGGCTCTTGCCCAGTGTGGCCTTCATCTCTGATCATTTTTCATGGCTGTTTATCCTACCTACCAGCCACCGTGAGCTGTTTATTATTTAGCAATTTCTTTCAATTGTCTATGTCTTTGTTTCAAATGTTGCTCCCTTTTTCTGACTCTCTTCTTTGTTTTTGTTCAGCTGGTAAGCTCCCTTGTGCTATTTCTCTCTAATCTCAAATGCTTAAATTCTGTAAAGTTTTGTCTAAATCTTTGAGGCAATGCTATATGCAAATTACAGCAAGTAACTTTCAGTTTTTCACTCAATGAAAATATTCCTCTAACCTAAAAAGGTTTGCAATTCCATGTCTTATAAACTAATTGTGTGTGTGTGTGTGTGTGTGTACATTTATATTTAATTTGTAAGCTAAGTTTTAAACCAAGAGGCAATAACATAATTCTGATGTCATTTATCTAAATTATTTCTACCATGAATTTTTTAGTTGATTCTATAATGGCTAAGTAACTGGCCCAGTCTCAGTTCTAACAAATTACTAATTGACTATCATCTTTCATCATATATCCTAGAAATAGCTAACACAACAATCTCCTTAAGAAAAAATCTGGAGATGAAACAGCAGCTAGAATTGTAGAGAGTTATACTTATAGAATCTATTTGGACTTCAAAGTTGTCTGGTTACAGAATTTTCAACCCCCACAAATAGACCAACATAGTCAACTAACCTGTACCCTTGGGGACTCCCAGAGACTAAATCACCAATCAAAGTGCGTGCGTACAAGGGCTGGAACCTAGACCCTCTGAACATACAGCTTGGTCTTCCTGTAGGTCCTCCAACTACTGGAGTTGGGGTTAACACTGAATCTGTTGCCTGCATGTGAAATCTGTTCTCCTGACTGTGTCGCCTTGTCTGGCCTCAGTGGGAATAGATGTGCCTAGTCTTGCAGTGACTTGAGGTGCCAAGGTAGGTTGGTATCCATGGGGAGCCTCCACCTTCACAGAGGTGAAGGAGAGGAGGAAATGGGGAGGAGCCAAGGTGGGGGGGACTGGGAGGAGGGAGACTGTGATAGGGATGTAAATTAATAAATTATTTTTTATTATTATTATAATTATTATTATTAAAATAAATTAGTGAGAAAATCTTTAGAGCCCATTAGTACTTGTAAGCAATTCCAGTGATTTGAAAAATTTGTGATTCTAGTTAACAATAACATTGTTTGTTGCTTACAATCTGGGTGCTATTATATTCTCCAACTCTCCAAAGTAGGTTAGGTAAAAGGGAGACAGGACTATAGGATTTTGTGAATAGATAGTAAGCAGAGTCCAGAAGCTTCTTAGAGGTTCCATAGCAAGGAGCTCACCTCTGCTCTAAGGAATTATGCACCCCTTAGTATAAATGTTATAAATACAGTTACATAGGCTTTTAGAATTAGCAGTTGTCTAAGTGATTGACACTGTTTTGCAAATGAATATGTGAAAGTTTCAGTTCCTGTGTGCTCTGAAGCTGAATGAGTAGTTGGTTTAAAACTGCAATTAGAATTGGGTCTCTAACACTATACCTCTTCATTTATGTGACATTTTTTGATGAACTGTATATTTCAATTATCCATGCCCTTTAAATACTAGATATAGTAATAATAACACTTCATATCCTTTTGGAATTGAGATAAAGTATAAATTAATAAACAGATACTATGAGTAATTATAAATTTAAAGCTAATGAAAGAACCAAGACTAGAAAGTTGAGGTGCCTCAAGTTGCTTTTTATTATGTTGCTGGCTATTGTCCTCTCACTTCATACATGCCGCATGCTGTGTGTGTGTGTGTGTGTGTGTGTGTGTGTGTGTATGTGTGTGTGTGTGTGTGTGTGTTTGTGTGTGTGTGTGTGTGTGTGTGTGTGTGTGAGAGAGAGAGAGAGAGAGAGAGAGAGAGAGAGAGAGAGAGAGAGATCTTATATCAAATCAGCATGTGAATGGAATCACGACAATACTTATACTACAATGTAGGGATCTTTACATCTTT